TATCCTCCTATCTGAGCATCACCACACTACATGGGAGCTGCTTTGTTGGCGCTTTCGGGTAATCGGAGACAGGGTGAACGAATGTATTCACAACACGTGGTATGTACACTAATGAATGAGCGACAATGTGCCCTTCTAGAAACGTGTCCTCAGCGCCCGTCATAGTGCGATGACGTCACTTGTGAGTAGAGTGGCCTTAGCTAGTCTATTGGTCAATTTCGCATTGCTTACTGTGAAAGCCTGGGATCCCTGGCCTGTGGTGTCATTCGTGCAAATATGTTCCTGCCATATGCACCGCACTTGAATCTGCGCGTCGCAGTGAGTTTCCAAGGCGTTTTTTTTTTTTGCATCTTTAATAGGGAGGGGAGGTGGGGGGGCTCTGCGACCGAACTTTACCCCTCACTCCTTGAAAGAGAACCCTGAGCAGATATGGGGAAACCCGATGTCATCAACGCGGCGCCGATCGGGAGATTGGGAGAGCGGCCATACCTCGCAGACAAAGGACGTCAGCTAAAGTGTCGCAGCCACTGAGACGCTCAGCTTTGTCTGGGCTTCGTGCTTCTTCTTTTTTTTTTGTCTTCTTTTGACCACCACGGAAGCAGCAGCACGGTTAGTAGGAATAGAGTCTGTGTACCTTTCGTTTCCCCACTCCCGTCCACGTTCGCCTGTGTACACGCATCGACAGACGGTATTCTGAAGCCCCACCACTTTGTCTTCGAGCACCGAGTAAGAAAATTTAAGAAAAGAAATGACAAAGGAAGGGACCCTATACTGGTGCTCCGAGCGAGCTCCCGCAGCCACTTCAGACTGAAAGCTGGCGCGAGAAAAGTGACAGCAGCTATACAGTGTGCAAGCAAAAATATCCAAAGTGTACAAGAAGAAAAAAAAAAAGTATTTAGCCACTGCTGGAAAGAGGAAGCTCAGGCAAGAGCGGCACGCACACTACTACGGCGGGGGAAGAGCCGTCCTCTTGATCGGAAATTTAACGAGAGGTGCACAATTTGCCTAAGCTAACAGCTTTGTCGCGTTCTTCTCGCCCGCTGAAGAAGAAAAAAAGAATCTCGAGCAAGGTGAAGAAGAATGGCAAACACGGCTCCGTCCTTCCCCCGAGCCGCGCAAGTGGCCGTCTTCGTCTTGCACGGCGCTCCGTGCCGAGAAGGGAGACCATGCGCCCAATATTGGGACGTCTATGGGCCGCGTCAGTACGATCTTTGTGCTTCGACATTCAGTACTACGGTGAATTCGGGGGGGGGGGGGGTTGTCTCGGGGTTCTGCGGAATATCGGGAAAAAGTGGTGTAAAATAGCTGTACAAAGCCTTGGAACTCCGTAGCGGATCGTCCTCTGCAGCGCCTTTTTTGTCTTCTTCGGCTCTCTTCTGAAAAAAAACGCCGCTCGTTGGAGTCCGTGCCCCGCGTGGGCTGTCGCCATTGCGCATTGTTGCCGGGTGCCGTCCTACAAGCGCATCTACAGAACTAAAAGACATATCACCAGAGTTCTAACTGGGCGGGGGGTGTTCAACATATATACCCCCTTAATTTTTCAATTTTGCTTGATAAGTATACAGCTCATATACAAACATACAAACGCACGCACGAACATGCATAAAGATAGACGCACGCACGAACGTACGTAAAGTATAATTCCCTCTCCCCCCCACTCTCCCGAAAAAAAAAAGGAACATGACTTGCATATCAGCTTGTTCTCCTCGCAGAGCGTTAAAACTACTCAACCGTTTTACACCACAATCTGAGCGCTATCAAACGAACAGCCGATTGTCAATTGAAGAACACCCGCACTAAACATGCGGAATTTCAAAAAACATATTCTCGCTGAAAGGCTGTGGATGCTCTTAGCTGCAAAACAATTTTATGAGGGCCATTGACGCGTAACTGAATGTACAGGGAGGGAAGATGTCAAAAGTTTCTAGGCCGCTATTCACGTGTTTCTACGGATGTTGTAGGCCCGTGTGCTCAGATTTGGGTGCACGTTAAAGAACCCCAGGTGGTCGAAATTTCCGGAGCCCTGCACTACGGCGTCTCTCATAATCATATGGTGGTTTTGGGACGTTAAACCTCACATATCAATCAATCAACGTGTTTTTACGGAAGCGTGGCCTGGGAACTTTTGACCAGGAGTGCACGTGCACTGCAGCACTTTGAGGAAGCACGGCAGCCGAACCGGTATCGAAACAGCGGCATCAAGCTTAGGATGATGGAAAACCCTAATCTCCCCGACGAATTCGTACACACTCGCTGCCGTTTCCGATCTGAACGTACCCATGGATTAACTGAGTGCGTGAATCATTGCACTGCGAACAGGCGTTGTGTGCTTCTACGGTCGCGCAGACGTTTCTAGCAGGCGACAGGACGGAGCTCTGGTTCGAACAAGCGAGCCTTTACCGGGGTTCCGCACAGTGGAACTCGTGGAACGCTGACGGATGGCGCGCGCGTCTGCCGTGCTGCGCGTCGCAGTCCTAAACTTAGCGCCCTGACGCACCCCGTAGTCGACGACAGGACGCGCGGATTCGTGGCGGCAAGCACAGCGAGGCCCTCCGAAGCGACAGAGCAGCTGCGGTCGTCAAAGAGGCGACGCCCGGCAGTCTTGTGCGAAGAGTCTGGTCAACTACAGTACATGTGTTTTTTTTTTGTTTGTTTTTTAAGTCATGGGCTATGCTTCAAGAGAGTATGCGTGTTTTTGTCAGCAATTGTTGGGGTATTTTAGCAGGGCCGCTTTATTGTACGATAAGCAGGGTTGCCATCAGCGGCTACTTATATTGTAGTTATAAGAGGGAAAAGAAGAGAAAAGTGAGCCCCGTAACTGTTTGCATCAGCGTGCGACACCTCAACAGTAGCTCACAATGGATGGGGTGAGGAGGGATTAAAAAGGTAGGATTTAAGGTAGAGGGAGAAAGAGAGAGAGAAAGATATATATATATATATATATATATATATATATATATATATATATATATATATATATATATATATATATATATATATATATATATATATATATATATAGAGAGAGAGAGAGAGAGAGAGAGAGAGAGAGAGAGAGAGAGAGAGAGAGATGCGCTGGGACAGCGAGCGAGGACATATGAGGGGATAGGAGAGATAGGAAAGATGGAAACACGGTCACAGAAGTCCGAGGACGGGGCACCACTTGCGAAAACTCTTGTCGGCGTCAGGACATGACGTAGGGCCAGCCCAGTTGGCCAGAGCTACGCTGACGTCGGAGATCGCGAGGGCACAACCGGTCGGCACGGAATCCAGCGAGCGAGTCACAGCGGCTACTTTGCGCCAAATTGGTTACTTTTAGACGTTGTCGGGCCATGAAAATTTCAGCTTAGCGCCGTAGCTTTACGACTTCGAACTTTAAGTTTAGCAGGCGATTTTCAAGTTATTTGCTTGTAACAGAACGAGCAAGACAAAAACACATGCACCCACTCTTTGCAACCTTTTGAGTCGCGTCAGCCGATGCGCCCTCATGTCTTCGACCCCTCAAGAAGCTGATGCGTATTGAAGCACGCAATGCACGACGCGATTGTAGACGGAGTGGCCAAGTTCTGCGCACTTTGACACTCACATTCCCCGCTACATATTCAGACGTCAGTTTCTAATGCTGATAGCAAAGCTCGCGTTCTCACGCAAGCTTGCGAAAAAATGTTGATTGTGAAAAACACGAAAGTGAAACGTGTCTTCACAAAAGTTGTTAAGCATTTTCAAAACGCGAAGCATTCTTAAGCGAACTTCAGCGACTTTGACTGTATCCATCTATCTAGCCGACTATACGAGATTTAGCTCTCCTGGCCGTTTCGTTAATGAGATCTATACCAAAATTGGTCTGGCATAACATGACTGTATGACGAACATAAGTGACTAGTCATAACATGAAAATCGTGACATGTATGTCATGAATGTCATGGTTTACATGTCAAGGTCCTGCAGCCCATGCGGTGGTTTCGTTCACATGGCATGTTGCAAAACTGCTATAGTATGACATGACTGCATGGCCAAGATAAGTGACAGGACCTAACGTGGAAATCATGACATGCATGTCATGTAAGTCGTGACTACACGTCACGCTCAAGGTGCGCTCGCGGTCGTTTCGCTAGCTTCACATATACCAAATATGGTGTTGCATGACGCGAATGGACTACGAAGGTAAATGACACGTGCAAACATAATAATCATGATGTGCGTGTCATGTAAAATATGACTACATGCTACGCTCATATATCGCGCTCGCGGCTGTTTCGCTACCTTCACGTATGCCAGATTGGGTATTACGTAACGGGATATGACGGCGAATGTAAATGACACGCCCAAACATGATAATCATGACATGTGAGTCATGTATTACATGACTACGTACTACGCTCGTAGCATGCTCGTGGCCGTTTCGCTAGATTCACATACACCGAATTTGGTATTGCGCGACGTCAATGGACGACAAACACAAATTTCAGGTGCAAACATGATAATCAGGACATGGAAGTCATCTACGGCATTATTTACGCCAACCTCGTAACATTGTGCTGATTTTAAAGTGGCATGTCAACCTTCCTCGTTCGTGCTCCTCGTATCATGCTTTCTCATATCCTCCTCATATCATGCTTCCTTCTATTGTTTTGAAACAAACTTCACCACTGTCTGCCTGGGGGCCCGGAGCTTTGTCACGCCGAAGGACTACCGGCTTTTTCTCCAGTTCTCCCTTTTTCACCTTTGTACGAAATGGTGAAAATAAAAGATTTTTTATTTGATTTGATCATCGATTGCCACTGTACATGGGAATCGATGCCTTTGAATATCATGCCTTCTGTATTGGCTCCAAACCTAAGGTCAACAGTATCGAACATATATCAAATAAATAAATTATTTAATATCACATCTATGTTGTGTGCCATACAGTTCGGTTAGTGATCCACTTTATACTGTGGAATAGCTCGCAAATATTTGTTCATAATGCCAAACCATTCGAACTCTCTTCTTGTGCGCAGATTCCTGGCTCAAGCGGTGACCAGTACTCCGAGCACCGGCTACCGCCATCCTGCAACTCTGTAAGCTGCCTATAATCATGCCACAAAATGCTCCTTCGTCGAGCGACGCAGAACAGGGAGGAGAAGCGAACACACATACCGGCACCGCTGACTAACAACCGAAGCTGCATACAACCAATCGCCGAATGAAGTTTCAGTTGCTAATCAGTGCCGTGGTTTGTTGCGTCTTCCCCCTTCGCCTTTTCTCCCGTTTATTGCAACTTCTCGTTTGAATCGCATACAACAAATTTCACACCGGCATTGCAAAAGATGTCAAATCTTTTCCTAGGAAACCCGCAGCGTAGGGAAAGATTTATAAAAGGAAACACAGTTGAAACTGTTTGAAGAAACCCAGTTTTTCGAATACCCCAATTGGACGAATAAATTCAAGTTCCCCGCCTCACAGTTGCACATATAGGCTAGTTTGCTTCCACATTCAACAAAATATTTAACTAAATAATTCACGACTCCGCTCAGTTTCGTTAAACTGAGTTTTAACTGCAGAGAGTTTTAGAGCCGGGGACCCCGTGCAGCTTGCGTATACGCACGTTCTTGCGTTCCTTTGTACTTTTAGCCGCACGCAAGAGCAATTACAAAAGAACGCAACGACTTACGTATATGCCCGAGCCGTTGCAGGGGGCCGGCTCTAAAATACCCCAGTGAGTCATCGGCCCGTTCAAGCTGTGTAGCACAAAAGTTTACAAAGGAAATTCATTTGTTCTGTATCGGGATTCGAACACGAAACCAACGTTCTGTCGGATGTGAAGAAGAGAGAGAATCAAGCTTATTTGACCAGTCTGTTTAGACCGATAGGTACGCGGCCACCTCGGTCCGTGCAGCCGTGGGCCTGGGTTCATTTGATAACCTAGCCCTTCTCACCAGCTGTGTCTGGTGCTCGGGGCTCGGGCTGGTCAACCGTGCCTCCCGCTGTTCCTCTGCTGGTGATTGGGTAACGCCAGAAAAGGAGAATATTCTTGTTCTATAAAAAACGAGCGCGAGTTTCTTCCGCGGCCTCGTCCTACTAACGTGTCTACGACGTTTTCTTTTTTTTTTTCAGAACTTACTGCAAGCAGATGTAGAGCTATAGTTCGTTGGGGATCTTGAAATTTGACGGTTCAATCAGCACTATAGAAGTGACCACGGTGCACATGTATAAGATAGCCTAATATTCACCGTTACAGCTCAAAACATATGTACAACTAAAGAAGACCAGCAGATTGCGCGAGTCAATTGGTGAGGTTCCATGATAAAAAAAAAATATAAAGCAGCGCTTCAACACAGGACACAAGAAAGAACTGAGACACACACGGCGCTGGGAGGTTGGCACACATAAAATAAACCGACGTGCTAGAAATACTTCTTTCCTGTATGCGGTGTTAAAGCGCTGTTTTATATTTTTATCATGCGCGACTAACTGGAATTCTCCATTTTCAACAGCGTATTCATTTTTAGAGGCGAGAATTCGTGAAGATAGCATGTATGCGGCATGTGTGAATAGCATGTACAGGGGTAGCATGTACGGGTAGTTATATGTAGTAAAAAAACATGTACGGGTACTGGTACGCGGGAGAACACAGGCAGTAATTACAGTGATACGTTTACAAACTTATTCGAGCTATTCGAAACTTGTAAAAAGATAGTGCGACTGGTACCGCGTGCACAATGTAGCGTTCCATCCGGCAAGTAGTATAGGTCTCGAGTTTCCTATCGCACTATAGCGAAAACTCCGGCACTAATGACTACAGGAGCTGCAAGGCATGTCGCTTCGGCCAGCATGGGTGTGATGGGTGCGCAGATTTGTCTAAACTTTGTTCCTTCAACTGGCCGTGTGGCCTGCGTCCACTCTGTCACAAGACAAAGTTCAGTTAATGTTCAGCAGTTCCACTTGGTCACCTTTACCTTTCTAAGCTCACTAATTCAAATCGGCTCACGAAGTTCGCAGTGATCTATTATTTTATCCTAAAGAAACGCCACAGGTCAAGAATAAACGAAGCCCCTATAGTGCGTTCGAAGCCGCAAACACGAAGATTAGACAAATTTGTGTATACTATCTTCCCATCATTCCCATGGTGGCTGAACGATCGCAGATCCGGAGTTTCCTTTAGTAAATATTCTAGGAACATCTGTGTCGCGAGCAAGGAACTGCCAGTACGTTTGCCATCTATAATTCCGTTCGATTCTGTTCTATTAGTCGAACAGTCTTACTATAGGAGAGGTACAAGTCGCAGATGCTCGACTGGAAGCCCAGCGTCTATTACCAGACAGTGGCATTCACAAAACACGTGCCTAATGCGCGCGAATGTACTACACACACAAAGAGAGAAACTAATGCAGACAGACACACTGTTACGACCGCCATCGGTAGGCGCCATGCTGTCGCTGAGAAGCGTAGCCGGGCCGCGTTCCCACGCCTGGAACCCAGGTTTTCTTGGAACCAGCGTCGAGATCTGACGGGGGAGCGGCGCTCTTTTGACCCTCAAACAAGTAGCCGACTCGCCGAATGCTTATGCCCGCCAGGTATTGTCACTGTTAGCCGGCGGATGAGACGTCACGTCGCCACGAAGCGGTAAGCCGTTCCAGAGGGGACAACAAAGACCGCGTCTTCCTTTGTAGAAACGGCGACCGCCGCCACAAAATGCCCTGCTAATTGAGCAGAGAGGTTGGCGGACCGTTTGATCTCTGCTGTCCGAAGCTTGGGATCCCTCGACCAGTGACACACACGACGAGCAAGAGCCCCTCTGGCGCCACCTTTAAGTGCAGTGATCTTGACTCGAAATTGGCTGTTCACGTGCGCCGTGCCTGCTCGTACCCCTCACCTGTTGTGTGTATGTGATTGGTGTTCGACTGAAGAAGGAGGAGCCCGACAGGGCTTATAACGGCGCCGCAGAGTGCAGGACGTCGCTCTGAACCAACTAAAGGTTCAACCACCACGTTCGTAGTTTGTGAACGCTCTGAACCAAGAAAAGGTTCAACCACCACGCTCGTGGTTTGTGAACTCTTAACCTCATGCTGTAAATATTTGTAAATAGTGCCATAAACCTTGTTTGTTTTTCGTATCCCCATCTTGTAAGCGGTCGTTTCCTCAACCCGAAGCTACACCACGCTACCACAGCACCCCGGGATCACAACAACTGGTGATCAGCGGTGGGATCACGACAACTGGTTGGCATCGGTGGGATCACGACAACACACACACACAGGCGCCCGAAACGGTATTACGCGCCTAAACACGATTTATCGTGAAAGACAAATGTCCACAATAGAGACTCACAGCTAAAATTTGCTGAAACTCTATGTTCCCTGAATGGCCCCGACATTGAAGCGATTAAAACGGAGGCACACGGGTGGTGATAGGATGGAAAGAATGGCACAGAAACGACGGGAAAACAACAACACTGACAGATCATTTTGTCGTGCCTTCCTTTTTGTTGACCCCTATACGCACCATGCGCTGATTTATCGGGGATGAGCAGTTTTGTCGGTGCACGGTGAGCTCCGAAGCCCTCTTTCACCTTGCCCCATCTTATTATCATATGATAAGCAACAAAGTCCGGGATTATCCAGACAGATGCTGCCCATTGCCATCGGCGCCACGCGAAGCGCTCATCAGCTTTGCAAGCGCGGGCTGCGGAATCGCGGCGTCGTGCCCAAATCCGGCTGGGCGGAGATTACGCCGAGGAAGGGTGGCCTTCGATATATATATATATATATATATATATATATATATATATATATATATATATATATATATATATATATATATATATATTATACATACGCACACACAAGCATGAAGGTCCTGACTCGGCAGAGGTCAGGTCGCGACGAGTCTCCCAGCTGTGATGGATGTGGGTTTTGAGAACTGGAGCTTTTATTGTTTAATTTTTTTGCAAGGAATAAGAAAAAAAAGTGTGTAATAAATGTACTGTGGGAGAGTGCTCATACATGGCTCCGAAACTTGGAAGCTGTGAAAAAAAAAAAAAAAAAAACAGCTGACTACCGGCTTTGCTGGTCATGTACAAAGCGAAGCGTCGTCGATGGCCCGCGCTCGCTTTTCTCCTTAGCTTCTCTTTTTGTGCTTCATTCGTTTTTTTTTCTTTCTCAAGAGTCACGGGGGCTTTATCTCCACGTTTACCTTGAGGCTTAATTTCCGTTCCGTGCGTGTCCCCTCTTTGCGCTTCGCTCTTCTATTCACAGCAACTAAGAGGCGATCAAGAAGAAGAAGAAAAAAGAAACACCTCGCGGGGGGTGAGGTTGTATGTTGACGTTCTGCGTAATAGCGCCATTCGCAAAGCTCCATTTCACGATGACGATAGTTATAGCGTGAGAACAAAACGACGACACAGAGGCAAGAAGGACACGAAAGACTTGTCTCTGTGTCGTCGTTTTGTTCTCGCGCTATAACTATCGTCATGCCATACCAACTAGCCCAAGCTGCCACACTTCTAAGCTCCATTTCACGCCACACAAACGAACAAATACATAAACATACCCAGATTAACAGTCACATATATACACAGAGACAAGCAAACAAGTGTAGATGCCGGAAATGCTAGCCTGGCTATTCGATTGACATGTCATCTGCACGGGAGGGGTAATAATTATTATATACGCAGCTGACCTGTCCACGTTACAGGAGACAAGTATCCGATTACAACCACAATTACTTCCTATAGACTATAATTAATTACAGCGACCAATTACAAGAGCAGGAAAGTAACGCAGTTATTCCGGAAATGTATTCAATTACATTTGCATTAATTTCCTTATATATTTTACTGCTGTAACTCAATAACACCTTTTCTCAGATTATACGACGAACGGCTAGGGCTTATACATGGCCGGGGAAAAGCTGCAGGCTTGGTGGCTGGGAGGCCTATTCCTACGTCTAGAACGTTTCTTCACAGAACGTTCCATCTTGACTTGAGAAAGTCGGCGGGAGCACCGTCTCCAGGTAGAAAAGTCACTGCATACCAGCGATAATCTGCAGCGATTCTTTAAAAGCGCGGCGTCATTTTCAG